CTGCAGCTGCTCCTCCCGGGCCCGGCCTGCCCCGTCCCTGCACTGGCGGCTCGGGGAGGAGCTGCTGGAGGGGAACAGCAGCAACGCCTCCTTCACGGTCTCCTCCAGCCGGGCCGGGCCCTGGGCCAACAGCTCACTGAGCCTCCACGGGGGACTGAGCTCAAGTCTCAGGCTCAGCTGTGAGGCAGGAAATGAGCACGGGGCCCAGAGCACCACTGTCCTGCTGCTGCCAGGTCAGGGCCCTGGGGGGCCGGGGTTCTGCTGCGGAGGAGGGGCTGAGTGGGCAGGTGATACTGCCCGGAGGTTGGAGCAGGAGCTGGGGGTGTACGGGGCATGTGTCTGGGGTTTGGGGCCCAGAAAAGGAAGGCTGGCCCCGCTCAGGTCGTGGTTGTGGTTCCTAGAGTGAGAAGGGAGGTGGCTGCAGACAGCAAGGGGGGCACTGGACACTTGGGGGGAAATGGTCACTGCCGCCACCCTGCGCAGACAGGACACCCATCTCCGCCGCGCTCTCCAAGGGAGTGTTCGTGGGCATCGGGGGCACCGCACTCCTTTCCCTCGGTCTCGTTCTCATCCTGTGAGTTGGGAGAAGAAGCCCAGGGTCTGGAATCTCGGGTCCCCGGGCTGGGTCGGGCTGGGGAAGGGCGGGTGTAACAGCACTCGGCCAAGGTATGGCTCCCTCCCCAGCGTGAAGGCGCTGAGGACCTCGAGGGCCCAGGCCGAGGCCCTGAGGCCCAAGCTCTCCCGGAGAAGCACCATCCTGGATTACATCAATGTGATCCCTAAAGCCAGGCCCCTGGTGAGTGCACCCTGCTGCCCATTCTGTCCCCTGAATTGAGCACCCAGCCCCTTCTGCACACACGCCTTCCCTGCCTTCTTCATCTTCGCCTTGGAGACAGTGAGGTGGCAAAAGCATCAAGTACTGGGTTCAAATTCTGGCTCCCTCCTAGTCATCTCTTCCTCTGTTCCCATCTAGGGTTGGTTTGAGATTAGAAAACGGGCATTAGCTCAAAATGTAGTGGTTACATTGCTACCATCACCAAGGACACTACTGCTTGTAACTACTTCATAATCCAGATTTGGTTGAGGCACAGTATTAAGTGCCCTAGTAATTCATATGATACTGTCACTGAAATTAGCCTGCCCAACTCAAACGTTTCTGTGGCTGTGCATTTTTGAACAAGTCACTTAACTTCCTGCCTCACCTTGAACTGTAACCTGGGGTTAGCAGAACTGCCTAGCTCCTAGAATTAAATAAATTGCACCTGTAAATTATCCGGAAGAAGTCAGGCATCATTGTGTGTGCCTGTGATCCCAGCACTCTGGGAGGCTGAGGTAGGAAGGTCTCAAGGTCAAGCCCAGCCTGGGCAATTTTGGAACTTAGCAAGATCCTGACTCCAAGTAAAAAAGTAAAAAGAGGTGTAGTTCAGTATGAATACCCAGGTTTGAATGCCCAGTACCAAAAATAAAAATAATAAAAAATCAGGCTAGCACCTAGACCCTACTGCAGCCGGAAACTGCATGAGATTCCCAAACAGACCACTCGGATACACAAAGAAGGAGCAAATCAGCTCTTAGTAATGCCGGCGGCTCAGCGAGCGACTCCTGTCAGTCTTGAGAGCCCTGGATAGAAGCTTGCGCCTCCTTATCTACCTCTTTTTACATCTATGAGGTTTAATTCCATCCAAGTTTCCCTGGGAATAGAGCAAGCGGGATTCACACAAAGCAGACCAGTGGGGTTGGGGAGAGCATAGAGTCCTGGCAGGACTTTCTGAGTCCCTTACGCTCCTTTGGTGACAGAAGTTGTCATGGCCACTCAGACACATTCTACAAAGAAAAGCGTCACCTAAGTAACCCCTGGTTGCCTAGCAACACAGTTACTGGTGGCCCGATTCTATACGGAGGGGTGGTCTCCTCTCTCACTGCTAAGTGTTCAGTAAGCGTTGGGTACAATCAGATCCCATCTGTCCTCCCAGTGACTCCCAGATTGATGTCCACTGGCTTCCCCCCTGCACTCCCAGACTCACAAGCAACTGCCCGTGTGGCACCTCACACTTACTGCTCAAAACCCACTTCCAGTGGACTCCTCCATGTAGACTTCCCTTCCACCCTCCCGCCTTACCACACACATCTGCACACCACACTGAGAGCACCTCCCTGGATGGCCTGTTTATGTATTATTATTAATGCATCATAATCGTGCCTAGATGGGTACAAACGTGCTATGTCGATGCAGGGACACAGTGCAATGACCTCATCGAGGTCATCCGTGTGTCCGTCACCTCGAACACTCATCATTTTTGTGGGAAATCCCCTCGTCTAGCTATTTTGAAATGTATGTGGCGAGACTGAACTACGGTTGGTTGCCCTGCTGTGTAACCAAACATCAGAGCTTTTTCCTCCTGTCCTTTGGAATCCATGGTCTAATGTCTCCCTCTCTCCTCCTCCTCCCCCTCCCAAGACTCTGGTAACCACCGCTGCATTCTCTACTCCTATAAAAACAACATTTTTCGATTCCTCCTATGAGTGAGACCATAAGCTGCTTCTCTTTTTGAGCTTGGTTTATTTCATGTAACGGGTCCTCCAGTCCCATGCATGTTGTCACAAATGACAGGATCCCCTCCTTTTCGTGGCTGAGTAGTATTCCACCGTGTATACACACACATTTTCTTTATCCACTCATCTGTTGGGGGACATTTAGGTGGACCCCATGTCGTGGTCACTGTAAAGTGTCACAGTGAGCACGGGAGGTCAGATGTCTCTTAGGGATGGTGACTGTACCTCCTGAATGCCCTGTACACATAGTCATCTCACCTCCCTTTCCACTGTCTTTTGTGTTTTTGTTGTGGCATTTACAGCTTACTTTCTATTATTTGATTGCTCATTTCTGCCCCTAAGATGCAAAGAAAGCAGGCTCGGCATGGGCAGGGACTATGTCCTCCTCCCAGCTGTGACCCCACTTCCTAAGGCATGTGGGTGGCAGGAGCTCAAATGTTTGTTGAGAGAATGCTTGTTATCATCTCAGGCTCGGAATCAGAAGGCCAAGCCAAGCAGCCCTTCCCAGATCCCTTCTCCAGAAACCCGCACCCCAGTACCAAAGAAGAACCAAAAGGAGCAGCACTGGGTTTCCCTTGGCTGCCCAGAGCCCAAGACATTCACTGGCAAAGCAGACTCTGAGATCAGCCCCGAGGGGCTCCACTACGCTACTCTGAACTTCCCAGGCCCCCGACCGCGGGAGAGCCAGCAGCCCACGGACACCCACGAAGACTACGCGGAAATCCAGTTCTACCCAGGGCCTCGCAGGCCTTAGGGCCGAACCTCGGCTGGGGAGCAAGGTGGGGTGATAAAAAGGTTCAGAGAAAAGAGTGCAAAGTTTCTCTTCTTAAAATGAGATTTTCCAAGGACGGGTCCGCCCAGCCCGGCCCAGGCACGTGGAACAGCGTAACAAATCAGTCCGTCCGGCGTGGCCGTGCCTGGCTGAGCCCCGGGAGCCCAGGTACCACCCCAGCATCGCGCTCACAGCCCCCCAGATTCTCCAGGGTGGCAGGGCCTTAGAGGTGACTGCTGCCGCTTGGACGTAGTTTAAATGTGCTCCTCAAAGCATTGTGCGATGGAATCTGTCCCCGGCAGTAAAAGTTTTACTAAGGCAGTAAAACTTTGAGGCGGTGGGGCCTAAAGAAAGGTGGATAGGTCCAGGGGACTTCACCCCGGGAGCGGCCGCGCTGACCCTCAGACTGGGGCTGGTCGGGCTGTCTCAGCGCTCTTGCTTTCCGCCTCCTGTGTAATCTCTCCCTCTCACACATGCACAGTTACCTCCTTGCATAACAACTGCTTGAAACAGAGTATTCACTGTGAAGATGTCCCAGTCTCAGCCAGGGGGTAAACCGAAAGCCACCCCAGCCTGGCCCAGCTCCCCTCCGTTTCACCATCTCTCCTGCAAGGGGCGCTACTGACTGAAAAGCGGCTCAGCCAACTCCCGGTCCGAAGGCGAGTTAGCGCTAAGTCCACCGGAAACAAGACGCTAAACAATAGGGAGACGATTCAGAGAGGAGAGCATGCAGCTATTTGCGAAAAGTGCTGTAAAGTGTGTGTGGGGGGGTCAGAAGTGGACTGCGCTTTGTCCAAGCACGGGCAGACGGTCGATGTCAATAAACAACCTTTGTTTCGAGTCCTGAACAAGAAATTAGCAAAGAACGTTCCGCGATAATCTCCTCTTCCGCCAGACCTCTCAGTCCAGGCCTGTTTCCTGCGGAAGTGTTCATGACAGTGGCTAACGTGTGTTGAGGGCTTACTATGCCCTGGGCTGTGGTTTGGGGCTTCTGTTACACTACTCATACTCACACATAGTCTCTACGGGGTTTTCATCCAGAGACAAAATGAAGTCTCCCTTCATCTGCCTCAAGCAACTGGTTCCTTTAACACGCCCCCCCCCAAAAAAAAGCAGGAAGAGAAGTGTCAGAACTTCTAAGAAATAGAAATGTCCCCAACGAGTATACAGCCCCCCAGTCTGGCTTCCTAAGGTAATGTTCAATAGTAACTTGGGTTTTTGCACCGGTTTCTTAGCTGTTACTGACGAGTTCTTCATCTGATTGAGTGTACCCTGCTAAGAAGTAAAGACCCACCGCCACCCACCCGTCATCTTAGTGAGGGGAGAAGAGACTCCACCAGCACGGGCCAGCTCTGTGGACACAGCCAGCTGCTGACCCTCCCTACAGCTCTTTTTGTTATTATTTTTTTTTAATTTTGAGACAGGATGCTAAGGTACCCAGGCTGCTCCTGAACTCACTACCCTCCTGCCTCAGGCTCCAGAAGAGCTGGGGTTATAAGTGTGCTCCAGTGCGTCCAGCTCAGATAACTCTTTCTTACATTTTTTTTTTTAATTTGTGCAGTACTGAGGATTGAATGCAAGGACTTCACACTGAGCTACATCCCCAGCCCTTTAAAAAATATTTTATTTGGAGACAAGTTCTTGCTAAATCACTGAGTTGCCCAGGTTGGGCAGACACTTGTGACCCTCCTGCCTCAGCCTCCTAGGGTACTGGGATCACAGGCGTGGAAAGCATGTGTAGAGTAATAGAAGTCACAGTCACGATGTGGATCACAGGGCAACCCCTGGTCTTACAGATGAGGCTGAGGAGGGGCAAGGGCTTGGGACAGGTCATGCAGCTAAAAGGCAGGGCTGAGGACCAGACTCAGACAGACACCAAAGGACACCAGCTCTGTGACTTATGCTGTTCCCTCCATCAAGGCTTGGGGTGGGGTGGATGCTGGAGGGCCTGAGAAAATGTGGGGGCTCTCTACAGCTACACAAAGACAGGGAGTCTGTTTCCTTCCCTCTGCCACTGAATCTGGCCATGACAGCACCCCTGAAGGTCAGTTTGACCTTGGAAATGGGAAGACGGTGTCACTAGAGCAACAGGTTTGGCCAGGGTCGGTAACGTTGCAGTAGACAGATGTGGTCAGTCCTGATTTCTGCAGTGGGATCTGCAGGGAGGTGAACGCTATTATCCAGTACTCTCAGAGAAAGGTGACGTCGCGTAAATGGGGGGACAGACACAAAAGACTCAGAGTCTAAAGACTCAGCTTGGGCTTTGGTACCTTCAGATCATCTCTCTAACCATTTAATTGGGAGCTGTTAGATCCCAGAAGTATCAGTATAAAGCAGTTCCAAGCTGGGCACAGTGGTGCATGTCTGTAATCAGAGTACTCAGGAGTCTGAGGCAGGCTGGTTGCAGGTTTGAGTCCAGTGGGGTCAATTGAGTGACTTAGAACTTGTCTATGAAAATAAATTTAAAAATGACTGGGACTGTAGCTCAGTGCAGAGGCCCTGAGTTCAATCCCCAGTGCCACTATTGTTCATTGTTCAATTGTGCTGTTAAAACTTCTTCTCACCAGGTGTTGGGGGGCACACCTGTAATCCCAGCACTCAGGAGGCTGAGGCAGGAGGATCACTGTAAATTCTAGGCCAGTAGGGGCTACATAGTGAGTTCTAGGATAGCTTGAACTGCAAAGTCAGACCCTGTCTCGAACAAAACAAAACAAAAAACCTGTTTTTCTCATTGTTCAATTGTGCTGTTAAAACTTCTTCTCACCAGGTGTTGGGGGGCACACCTGTAATCCCAGCACTCAGGAGGCTGAGGCAGGAGGATCACTGTAAATTCTAGGCCAGTAGGGGCTACATAGTGAGTTCTAGGATAGCTTGAACTGCAAAGTCAGACCCTGTCTCGAACAAAACAAAACAAAAAACCTGTTTTTCTCATCCCTTCATGTCTTAGACATTACATAACTCTCCAATCAGTTCTGATTGCCAAAACTCAGCATGGTTTTAAGTGCTGACTTTAATCCCACCATTCCCCTCCCCCAGCAGCTTAGGTTTGCACTGACACCTGACGCCTAAGGAAAAGGGTTGACCAGTTGACTCTAAGATGCCTCTGCACCCCATTCTCACTTTGGGATTTCTTTCTCAAAATATTTGGGTCCAGCCAGGTGTGGTGGTGCATACCTGTAATCCCAGTACCTGGGAGGCTGGGGCAGGAGGATCACTGTGGGTTTGAGGCCAGTCTGGGCTACATAGTGAGTTCAAGGCCAGCCTGAACTGCACAGCAAGACCCTGTCTCAAAAAACAAATACATATATATACAAATATATATGGCAGTTATGAGTACAAGTGACTCTCTGTGACTCTCGACCTAGTTGACCGTAGCTGTGGCCTCTGTTGGCTGAACCTAGATGCTTTTCTGGCCAGCACTGACCAGCCCTCAGCATGGCCCGAGTACTGGCTCTCTTGGGGAGTAAAAGTATGATGACTTAGTTATTTTTCGCTTGTTGTTGACACAAAATACCTGACACCCCAAGTAGAAGGGAGAAGCATTTACTCAGCTCAGGGTCTGCAGAGGTTTTGATCCATAACTGGCTGGCTCCAAGGCAGGGTGGCGTGGCAGACAGGCCTTGCAGGGGAGAAACGGTTCATGGCGGACAGAAGGTAGCAAAGCAACAAGGGACAACCACAGCTCTTACGTCTTATCCAGGCTACTGAGGGCAGGAGCACTCACACACTCCATCTTAGTGCCCTCGAGCCCAGCACCATGAGTCAATTCCAGCAACACACACTCTAGATCCTGCCTCCTCTGAAGAAGCCCCACCCATGACGTGAGGCTCGGGGACATCTAGACCCAAGCCATAGCACTTACTTGGGCGGGCCCAATGGGGTTTTCCCAATTCCTGTTTCTGGGTAGAGTTGTGGTCCCTACCATCTCGTTACTCCCCTGGCAGACAGCGCACAGCCTCTGACTGCTTTCCCGGGTGAGATCCCGCAGTGAGCTGGGGCTGAGCCACCCCCACCGTGCCTACCGAACCCACTGCTGTACCCTGAATGCTATGTCTCCCGCAAAGTCTGTGTTGAACTGCAAACCCCAAACACAGCAGCATTGGAAGGGGGAGCTCTTGTGCGATGATCAGGTCATGAGTGCGGATCCTTCAAGAACGGGATTCATGTGCTTATAAAGGAGACCCCAGAGTGCTTCTGCACAGACACACAAACCTGGGAGGACACAGGGAGACGGCACCATCTGTGAACCAGGAACCGGGCCCTTTTCAGATGCTGAACCTGCCAGTATCTTGGACCTCCCAGGGTCCAGAACCGCGTAAAATAAATCGCTTACAAGCTTCTAAGTTTTGTGGCACTCTGTTACAGCTGCACAGACTAAGGCCGTTTTAAACCGGAAATCAGCTCCCTGGTGGAGTCCCACACCTGCGCCAGGAGCCTCCAACTCCAGAGGGCGTCACAGCTATTTCTTGTCCCCCAGGCATCTGAGGCACAGGAACCTCAACATGTCCCCGACTTCACTGTCCTATCATAGGCTCTTCAAACCCTGAATGCACTTCCTCTCCTCTGTGTGGACTTGATTCTGGCCCCCCACCCTGCACCCCCCTTCCTCCCCAGATGCCCAGACTGGAAATGTTATGAACAACTGGCTTGTCCCCGGCTCCCCACATCAACAAGCCCAGCCAAGAGCCGGGATTTCGCTCAGTGGTTCCACCGCCTGCCTTGGAAGCACAAGGTCCCAAGTTCGATCCCTGGTACCTAAATCATCATCATCATCATCATCCCAGCCATTCTCCCTCCTAAACGCCAAGCGCTGCTGCTTCCTCGGCCCTCCCGGCTACTGCTGATCCTCTCGGCCATCGGTGTGTGTGCACACGTGTGTGTGTGTGTGTGTGCCCACGTGTGGTAAAAACATGGATGCCAGGTGCTGATGGATCGCCCCGTGGGAACACTCTCTGTGCTGTGCCTTCACATGCACCGCAGCATTTCCAACATCACAACTCTGAGACAAGTGCTCTTGCCCAACTCGAGTGAAGCTGAAGCTCAGACAGGGGGAACCTGCCCGGGGCGACAGTGTGGGGACAGCTCAGGAACAGTCAGGATGTGATGTCAGTCAGGCTGCACTGCAGGCTCTGACCGCCTCACTTCCCTGCACCCCCTTCTCGCCACCGCAGTGGGTTTCTAAATTGTCTTGGTCTCCAGATGGCTTCCAGATGAGTTTTCTACTCCACAGTGCTTAACCAATCTCGTCAGTCCTTCTCCTTACAAACCCCTGCAGACTCCCCAGCCTAAGGTGCCACTTCTCTTCCCAGTCAGCAAGGGACACAGAAACTGCTCTGGGCTTCTCTTCTGACCGAGTTTCCATCTCTGCCCCGAGGAACCTTCAGACTACCATTTCTTAGATCCTTGTCTTGACACTTTTTCTTGTGCCTGAAATAGTCTTTGTCTGCTGGCAAGAGTCCCACGTCCGACAAGGTCCAGCCCGAACACACTCTTTGTGTCAAAATGAATTCACAGTGAGAAAGTACGGTCGGTGGTTGCCCGTGAAGGTTGGCAGGAACTGACTGGGAAGGCGCGAGAGGGACCGTGTTGGTGGCAGAATGCTCTGCACCTTGACAGGAAGGTTGCATCAGGGGAGGAAAAACAATACTCATCAAATGACAGAAACATGATTCCTGCACTTCATGAGGAAAGGTCAATGAACCAGTACTGTTACAGGCAGACTGCAGAAGTAAATTCTGGTGAGGTATTTCATGGCAATTCCTGTAGATAACACTAATGCACTATGTATCTCAAGAGTGAGAAGAAACTATTTTTAATATTTTTGTCACAATGAAATAAATGTTTAAGCAACATCTTAAGGTTTCGTTCATCTGAACACACGATGTATATACATGTATGAAGACATCACGAAGTACCCTATAAATACGTACATTTTATGTTGACTTAAGCGTTGTTAAAACAATTTATTCCACGATAAGCTGTACTTCAGAAAAAAACAAGTGGGAAACTCTAGTTAATGATACGTATCTACAGCGTTTCTGACGAGCAGTGATGACTGCAGTTTACCCTGAGATGTCTCAAAACAGTAAGACAGATTCCCGTAATCCCAGCACTCTGGGAGACCTAGGCAGGAGGATCACAAGTTCAAGCCCACCCTGGGCAATTTATTGACTGAGCAAGGCCCTGTCTCAAAACATGAAAAGAGCTGGGGATGTAGCTCAGGGTGGAGGCCCTGGGTTCAACCCTCAGTACGACCAATAAAATAAAACCAGATCAATGGGGGGATAAAGGAATGGTGAGACACAGAATAAAATGTTAGAGCGGTTGGCAGTGAGTACAGCGTCATTCACTGTAAAATTCCTCAGGTTTCCTAGGTGTTTTGGGACTTGTCTAGACCATGAATGCTCTTCTCATGAATGAGACTGGTGCCCTTATAGAAACCCGAGAGGCCTGCTCTTGGGCCAAGAGCACCAGCTAGACTCCTCTGAGCTTCGATGTGAGAAATACACTTGTTTATAAACCTACCCGGTCTATGGTATTTCGTTACAGCAGCCCAAGGACAACACTGAAGCAATGGCTGAGTGGGCGGAGGCTACGCTGTGTGCTCTCACGACCCCCCGGGGGGGGCTGGAGCGAGAAAGGAGGGGGGCAGGGATTCAGAAGTTGAACCCCCAAGGTGACCCCCCGACCTTGGAGGGGCTGGGACGGGAGGGACCATAGGAGAGCACCTAGACTAGACAAGGGGAGAGGTGGGGAGGACGCTGACGACCTCCCGCACCTAGAAAGAGGTTTGGGGAGACAGCCTGCAAGGAGGGGACGGCAGTGAGAGGCGCCCAAGATCCAGAGGCCCTGTCGTTAGCCCTGCACTTGCAGGGGTTGAAAGCGCGAAGCGCAGGGGCCCAGGGTCTCCCGGGGTGGGGTGAGGGCAAGTGGGGGGCGCAAGGGAAACCTGGAGCCCAACGGGAATCTCTGGAGGTCCCAGAGGTCGGATCTTGGAACTCTGCGAGGTCTGGCGAAGGGGCAGTGGCAGAAATAAACTGATCCTAACTGATGGACACAGCAGTGGGCCTCCCTGATGTCTCCTCTCTCTCCCATATTCCTCTCCGCACCTCCAAGTCTGGCCAAGTCTCCGCTGGGAAGTCGCAGTACCCGTCCACACCTGCAAGCTCAGACAAAAACCCGGCAGGAAGAAGAGAAAGATGCCAGCCAATCAGCGAGCGAGGGCGAGGAGCCCCACCCCCGCTCCTCTTGCTCTCTGACCAATCAGAGCTGAGGATGTTACCAGCCCGCCAAACATAACAAGGGGAAGGCGGGGTTTGAAACCATCACTAACAGAGCATCCAGTAAATTGGAAGCCTGGTTTACCCAGACGCAAAGTTGATTGGTCATCTGTCTAATTTGGAAGTTAGATAAAGGATATTTCCTTAGTGACGCAAGGTCCCGCCTCCGCTCTCCGAGCTGGAGGGGGGGGACTTAAAGGGCCAGATACACGGATACAGGGTAAGTGAAGGCGATATTGGGACTTCTTCAAGCGGAGTAGAACCCTATTCGCAGAGACAGGAGAAACAATAAGACGCGATCACGTTACTCAGGAATGGGGCCAGGATCGCAGTCTCACGAAGAAACAGATTCAGAAATCCTGAGCAGCTTGCATAAAGTCATGCACCTGTAAGTACCGGAGGTGGGATTTGAACTCTGATGTCCAAGCCTTCTATAGACGTAAATTGCCTCTTTGCAGTTGAGCTAAGTAGATGGATAGGCCCGGACTCGAAGTCTGGAGATCTGAGTTTTCATCAGAATTAATACGAAAATGCTGAGCCTTGTGATAAAACTCCTGAAGCCCCGCCTGGGCAATTTAGTGACAGAGCTCCCCTCCACTCCTGTCATCGTCATCGAGGGCTGAAAGTGTATCACCGCGCGAAGGCCCTGGATCCAGTGCCCAGCGCCCAGCACCTGGGACTGCTCCCGCACCAGTCGGATGCCCTGATCTGCTTGTGAGGAAGGGGCTCCTGGGGCTAAAGACAGCATCCTCCTTGATCCCCCTTGCCACCCTCAGCGTCCAGCAGCGGCCCGTGCCCTCCCCCGGGACAGATGCAGCCCCACCTCCCAGCCCTCCTGGGAGCCACTGCTCTGTGAGGGCAGCCCCGTCCTCCTCCCCCAGGCTTCCCCTTCCAGCTCTTGCGCCACAACCCACGCTCCAAACGGCGGACAAGTTGTGTCACAACCCTGCTTACAAATGTTCAAAGTTTTTCAGCACTCTTACTTTTTGAATTTTTATTACTACGTGACTACAGCACATAACGATTACTCCCCCCCCCCGTACCAGGGATCGAACTCAGGACCTTGAACTTGTGAGGCAGGCGCGGTGCCACTGAGCTAAATCCCCAGCCCAATAATGATTATTCATCCTAGGAAATTGGTACATGTACACAACATATCTCAATTCTTTTTGCCTGCCTTTCCCCTCTTCTCCCTCCCCTCAGTACTCTTATATCTACAAATTAGAGGGCTCGTGCTACAGCTAAATGGTAGAGTGCACTACAAAAAAAAAAAAAAAGAAAAGAAAAGAAAGAAAAAGAAAGGGAAGAGGAGGAAGAGAAGGAGGAAAGGAGAAATAAAGAGCGCAAAATATTTCAGCTAACACAAACATACACAGTCCGGCTCCTACTTCTGTCTGCATTGAAAACACAGATTGTAGGTCCAAGTTGCCTGGGTTCAAATATCAGCCACTTTGGACAAGTTACATAACCTCTCTGAGGAGGATTAAGTAGATTGGTGTCATTCACTAGGACCACTGTTGTGTAGAAGTACTGATTTACACAGTGCAGGCCCATAATCCCAGCTCTCGAGGAGGCTGAGGCAAGAGGATCGCAAAGTGCAGGACAACTTAGGGAATTAGTGAGATCCTGTTTCAGAATTACTTCAAGAAAAGGAGGGGTGCTGGGGATTTATCTCAGCGCAAAGGCTCTGTGTTCAATCCCCAGTACCACCAAATAAATAAATAAATGTGCTTAGCACTCCGCAAAACTATCACGGCTACGTAGTATAAGGAAGGAATGCGACTCAGCTGCTGACCAGAGGAGACAGGAGGTCTAAATGTGGGTCTGAACCGGATCCAGGGACGGAAAAAACAAAAACAGAGGACACGGCTGTAGGAAAACCTGAACGTTTACTTAATATCATGTTGGTTTCTTAGCCGTGACAAATGTAAGGACAGGGTAAGATGACAACGCTGGAGGAGTTAGAACGTAGAAGATCTCGCTGTGTTCTCTACGTAACATTTTTAGATAGTACTTTTACATAAAACATTTGTTTTTTAAAATGTAAAAAGCCTAGCGCTGCTCCCAGCCCTTCCCCTCCCGGTCCCACAAACACCGTAGCTGTCGTGCGCCCGCAGGCTGCGCCCCCACTGAACCTCTGTCCCTACCGGCTCCCCCCCCAGCCCCCACGTCCCACCTCCAGTTCTTACTCCGAGAGGAAATGCGCTGCCCGCGCGCTGTCCTCCCTCGCGCGCAGGCTGGTTTCTCGGGCGGGGCCTCACGTCCCTTGTGCCCGCTGCCCCCCACACACACACAGCAGGCAGCGATACGTTCCTCAGTGGGCAGGAGGACGACTGCGCCTCAGTGCTGCGACTGGGGCGGTTTACGCCTTTGCACACGCGGTACCCCCGTGTATCACGAAAGCCTCACGAGCACCTGGGTGATAACATCAGTTTCCTCTCAGGTGGGGATACTGAGGCAAAGAGACCAGAAAGCCCTTGGGTCACACAGAAGTCGGAGATCCAGCACAGAGGGAGAATCCAGCCCTTGGCATGGCTAAGATTTCCACCCATCTACTAACGCCATGCCCGCCGGGGTGGTCTAGGCTCTCGGGCGAAACGGTCCTCACCGTCCTGAAAGCCGTCCCAAGGGCGCCTGCGGAAACAGAAGGGGCGGAACCTGGACCCCGGGTCTGAGAGGAGGCGGGGCCCAGGCCCCCAGCCCGCGCAGGCACCGCACCATCCGGGCAGCTGTGC